AGGATGGTCTCGATCTCTTGACCTCGTGATCCACCCGCCTCGGCCTCCCAAAGTGCTGGGATTACAGGCTTGAGCCACCGCGCCCGGCCTGCAACATAGATTTTACAGCATGCAAAAGCATTCCATTAAAAAACATCCAGACCCAACATCCCAGGAAGTAGCAGGACTGCGTGATCGCCCTCTCCAGTCTGCTGATAATGCAGATGAACGCCATTCACAGCCACTTTGGCGGAGGTTATCGAGGTGCTAGAAGAGAAAAAACACATCCCCACAGGGGGAGGGGGAGACAGGGGAAGATTTCTTAGGCGATTCAAAATTATAGCTAGACAGGGGAATAAGTGCTAGTGTTCTATGCCGCTGTGGGATGACTACAGCTAACAGTAATAGTTTCAAATGGCTAGAGGGAAGATACTGAATGTCCCCAACACAAAGAAATGATAAATGTTTGAGACGATGGTTATGCTAATTACACTGATCTGATCACTATGGTATACATGTATAGAAACAAAACTTTATGCCCCATAAATAGGTACAATTATGTCAATTAAAAAAAAAAATTTGAGCCAGGCGTGGTGGCTCATGCCTGTAATACCAGCACTTTGGGGGGCTGAGGAAGGCGGATGACCTGGGGTCACGAGTTCGAGACCAGCCTGACCAACATGGAGAAACCCCATTTCTACTAAAAATACAAAAATAGCTGGGCATGGTGGCGCATGCCTGTGATTCCAGCTACTCAAGAGGCTGAGGCAGGAGAATCGTTTGAATCTAGGAGGTGGAGGTTGTGGTGAGCCAAGATCGCGCCATCACACTCCAGCCTGGGCCAAACTCCATCTCAAAATAGAAATAAAATAAAATTTGAAAAATTTTTAAAAATCCACCCCCAAAAATCATTTAACAATATGAATTTAATATGACAAAACTGTCTTTGTATATGAATGAGTCGTCTCCAGTACTCTTCTCAGGCTCCTTGGGTTATTTTGATTTTTCCAATTCCAAACAGCGACATGAGTTTGAAATTTCTTTAGTAGACTGCCCATCTGAACTGTGCCCTTATGCTTGAATACGCTATCACGCCCAACCTGGGAGTAACCCTACGAAAGCCCTGTGAGGCCTGCTTAATCAATGGCCACAGAAGTTTCATGGCACATGCTGGTGAGCTGGAAGCCGAGAGCACTCAAATGCAGGCTGGCATGCAGCTCAGTGCAGTGCAATGAGGGTGGACATCAGGGGCAAAGACCCTGGAGTCACTTGTCTGCACCCCAGCAGGCCCAGAGGAGCTACCCAGACGTTCAGCAGCCTTGGTGACATTCCCAAGGAGAAGGCTGGTCCAGGGTCTCAGGGTTGTCCTTTAGCTATAGGGTTATCCTGTATTGTCTGGCTTGCTGCAGGAGGCCCACAGTCAAGAGTGCCCATCTGCACTGACAAGGTCTACTGGTTTTTAAGATGTTAAAACATTTCTGTGTTGACTGCTAAGTAGCCATGTCCATAAGCTTCCATGTCAAGAGCCCTCCTTCCAGCCACTGACCTGCCTTGGCCTAAGACCTCCTAGGATCCTGCATCTAACTGGACCACGCTTAGCATAGGACAAGGCCTCAGGACAGACATAATGCCAGTGTCTGTCCTGCCTGAATTAGGTGTGCTGTACAGGTGTTCTGATTAATCTCTCCTTAGCTGCTCTTCCGGGAACTCCAAACAGATATCCTGGAATATACACCAATCGGGCACATAGATGGCCCCCGCACCTAGATCAGGCTCCATCAGCCTGCTCACAGCTTATCAGACCCATGACTGAGTGAAGCACTGGAGGGACATGATGGCATGCCAGGACAGATGCCAGAAGGAGGCACTCCTCTTCTCCGGGTAGAGTACTAACACAGTGAAATCAAAACCCACCTCCTTTTTCTTTTCTTTCTTTTTTTTTTGAGATGGAGTCTCGCTCTTATCGCCCAGGCTGGAGTTGAGTGGTGTGATCTCCGCTCACTGCAACCTCCGCTTCCTGGGTTCAAGCAGTTCTCCTGCCTCAGCCTCCCGAGTAGCTGGGATTACAGGCACCCACCACCACGCTCGGCTAATTTTTGTATTTTTAGTAGAGACAGGGTTTTGCCATGTTGGCCAGGCTGATCTCAAACTCCTGACCTCTAGTGATCTGCCTGCCTTGGCCTCCCCACGTGCTGGGATTACAGGCATGAGCCACTGCGCCTGGCCCTTTATCTTTTACATACTCCCTACCCCTACCTCTGCCCTTGGTCAAAATGATAAATGAAACATAATCCTTTTGAAAAAATGAGATCCTGTTTTCTCTTTTGGTTTCATATTATTTGCCAACCTCAAGTAAGAAACAAATGTGGAAACAAATGTGTTGACTACAGGTACACTGCATCTTGACACACAATTTCTAGAAAAGTAAAAGACAGAAGTGGGTAGTAATAAGGCCTGACCTAACTATAAGCTCCTTATTACAGAAATATGACTAGAGGGGCACTAGTGAAGCCACTAAGCAATGGCAATACTGACCCTGCCATTTGCTTATTATGATTACTACCCTGTTCCTCTGAGGAATTCATTTTTATAGTTATGATAGCTTAGGATCAAGAAGCAAATACATGTACTCCACTAATAAAGACTCTTTTCAGTCTTTGCTTCTTGGTGCTGCTGCTCTGCTCACGATCTAGTGGGAGAAACGATAAAGACACAAGAGGATTTGCTCTGCAACCTTCCAGGAAAGCCGAGTTATGACTGAAGACGAGAAGAGCTTGAGGCCCCTGGATGAAATAAAAGCTCAAAATAGTATTTCCTGTGTTTATTGCATTAAACGAGGCAACTCCCTAAATACAGATGGGCAGCATTTACCCAGCTCGTGGCAGTAACTGTGTGCACTGTACATGGTTTCCCTTTATTTCTCGTGCCCTAGACATGTTACAGGCTCCCTTCCTTAAGTGCTGAGGTGTGCTTGTAAAAGCTTTTTGTACTGTGAGGCTTCAGGTACACTGAGAAGCCCCCTCCTGTCTTTCTCACCATCCAAAGCCAGTCAGTTTCCAGGACTGGGTGCTGCTGCCTCGTGTTCTCTAGGCCGGCCCAGGGCACGGGCTCACTCAGGCTTCTCTCCTTCAGCTTCCATCACCATTCCCAAGTCTCTTCTGCAAAACACCTCTCACTTCTCTCTGCACTCTGAGACATCTACATTTTGATTTCCTATTCCAAATTTCTTTTTGTTGAGACGGATTTTCACTCTTGTTGTCCAGGCTGGAGTGCCATGGCACCGTCTCGGCTCACTGCAATCTCCACCTCCCGTGTTCAAGCAATTCTCCTGCCTCAGCCTCCCAAGTAGCTGGGATTGCAGGCATGCGCCACCATGCCCCCGCTAATTTTGTATTTTTAGTACACACGGGGTTTCTCCATGTTGGTCAGGCTGGTCTCGAACTCCTGACCTCAGGTGATTCACCTGCCTTGGCCTCCCAAAGTGCTGAGATTATAGGCATGAGCCAGCATGCCCGGCCCAAATTTCTTTTTAAATAATTTTCACCATTTCATATTCTTCTAGTTGCCTAAAAATATATATATATATAGAAACAAAACCGGGTAGTTTGGAGTTCAGCATATTGGGAACCCAATGTCAGGGAAGGATTTACAAAGGCAGAAAACCGGGAAGGTGGCTTTAGAGGAGAGAAACAGATCATATCAGGGGTGGGTAGAGTATCTGAGAAGAGAAAAAAAGTAACATTGGAGATGGACTTCCAAATATGAGTAAAATTCTGAAAAAAGAATGTGGTGGGAAGGCATTCCTGGAAGAAGAAACAGCATGATCACAGGCCCAGGAAAAAGGTACAGTGGTGGGGACAAGCCAGTGTTCAGCCTTGCAGGAGTTTGAAGGCAGAGAGTGAGCTAAGGCTGAGGCCAGATGGTGTCGGGCTTTGCAGCTAGGCTGAGGAGAAAGAGAACAGCCTTAGAGCTTTGTCATCAACATGCTATGTATCCATCACAGCAGAGGTGCTGCCATGTCATATTAGCCCACCCTCTGGGATAGAGCCCTAGTATCTGCTTTCAGAGACACCTGAACTATACCAGACTTTGCATTCATCTATTTCCTGAACTGCTTCATGCTAAGTGCTAAAGGTATGCCTTCACATAGCTTGGAGGTCAGCAGGAAAGACAGGTGAATAACCTGCTGACAGCATGGACTGTGAGTATTCAGAGTACTAGGAAGAGAAGCCAGGGCACAGAGGAGCCCCAGGTGCTGGTGGAAGGGACTGAGTTCACTGCACCTTCACAGCTCTCCATGGCTGCCCACGCAGCCCCTTCTACAAGAGCATTTCCTGCCTTCTACATTAGTGGGGCTCAAAGTTAAATGTGAATAACCTGGCAAACTTATAAATCTCTGATGCCCAGGCTGAGCTTCATGAAAATCTTGGGTGGGAGCCAGGTATCTGCATTTAAAAAATTACCCAGTAGATTCCAATAGGCAACCAAGGGTGAGAATGACTATACTGAGTTAACTTCTTGGAGGAAAAAAAAAATCCTGTCTTCCCTTTAAAGCATGCCCTCCTACCTTATATTTATCCTCGAGTCCCTTTTCCTGGGAGGCTGAACAGGCAACTTTGTGAAAGGGAGGGAGGTAAGGAATAATACAATGGTATTGATGGGGTAGAGCTGCTCCTCTTGAAGGAGGCTTTACTATGTGTGGTGGGGGCAAGAATATAACAGCTGGACAAATAATTTAACTAAATCTAACCTTTGTTACTATCTGTTACCCACTCTGCTAAGAGTTTGACCTATCCCATTTATTTTGCTCTGAGGTACACATCATACTTCACCTCATTCTACCACTGAGGAGCTTGAGATCAGGTAATCTGCTTGTCACACTGCCAGTAATGGGCAAAGCCAAGACAAACATCTGTGTGTCTGACCCCAAAGCCTCTGCTCCTCAGCACTTTGCTTAGAGATACAAATGGTGAGTATTCACAATAGCAAACATGGAATCGACCTAAATGCCCAATGATGGTAGACTGGATAAAAACATGTGGTTCAGGCCAGGCGTGGTGGCTCACGCCTATAATCCCAACACTTTGGGAAGCCAAGGCAGGCGGATCATGAGGTCAAGAGATAGAGACCATTGCCAATATGGTGAAACCCTGTCTCTACTAAAGATACAAAAAATTAGCTGGGCGTGGTGGTGCACACCTGTAGTCCCAGCTACTCAGGAGGCTGAGTCAGGAGAATCACTTGAACCTGGGAGGTGGAGGTTGCAGTGAGCCAAGATCGTGCCACTGCACTCCAGCCTGGTGACAGAGTGAGACTCCACCTTAAAAAAAATGTGGTTTATAGATACCATAAAATACTATATGACTATACACAAGAGTGAGATAAGGTCCTTTGCAGGAACATAGATGAAGCTGGAGGCCATTATCCTAAGGGAACTAATACAGGAACAGAAAACCAAATACTGCATGTTCTAAGCGGGAGCAAAACACTGAGTACATATGGACACACAGAAGGGAAAAGCAGACAGCCCCCTCTCCCCACTGCCCCAGGCCGAGGAAACATAGTAACTAATTAGTTACTATGTATTTACCTATGTAACAAACCTGCAAATGTACTCCTGAACCTGAAATTTAAAAAAAGGAGGCTACTTGGTAAGGCATACTCTTTCTTTGAAAATGCTAATACAATATTATATATTCAGCTATTTCTTTTGTGTATGTTTTGCAAAGTAGCCATTAGCTACAATAAAGTATTTGCTCCCTTCAGGGCTTGAATTTACATGAATCTTGGTGACTTATTTTTTCATCTCTTATATATTGTACTATTATATAAATATTCCCATTGTGCCTACTAATTACTTCATATTTATTATATCCCCAGGCTTTTACATTCATTGTTTCAAATCCTCACAAAAACCCTGCAAGACAGGAGGCTCAGAGAGGTTGAGCAATCTGCCAACATTCACATAGCTAGGACGTGGTCACACAGCCACTGGAATTCCAGAGGCCGTGGTTCCTCTCTAACCTCATGGCTGAACAGGGTCCTAAGAGGGCTCAGGCACCGGGGCCACACTCTGACTGCCAGACACAGCGTGGTGGCAGGCGTCAGCAGAAGAACAGTCTCTGATTCTCTGGCAGGGCATCTCAAGGTTGAACTTAGAAAATATTTTTTAGGCAGACTGATAGGTTATGTCAATTATTAACATTTATAACTACACATAATACACAATTTCAGGTAGAAAAGTTTTTTTTTTTTTTTTTAACTTGACCCAGGAATAAATCACCTTACAGATTATGAAATAAGGGTGAAAGTTTCAAATAACAGATTTACAAACAAGTTTTTGGAACACCAAGTCAATTGTAGGTTGGGCACTGGCTGTTCTGAAGCAGTTTTACAGGAATGCTTTTACCTACAGATACTGAGCTACAGCCTCGTTTCAGGATTAACCAGCAACACCGCTTGTTTTTCCAGATTATGTCATATCAACTTGCAGCTGCATTTATAAAATGGTGTACAAAATCCAGAGGAACCTGTTTTTTCAGAGATATTTTAGGAAGAATAATCTGCAATGCAACTAGTTGGACGTGGCCTTCCTCAACCATTAAATAACCTATCAAAACTATATTGGTAGACCAAGCACAGTGGCTCATGACTGTAATCCCAGCACTTTGGGAGGCCAAGGCGGGTGGATCACTTGAAGTCAGGAGTTCAAGTCCAGCTTGGCCAACACGGTGAAACCCTGTTTCTACTAAAAATACAAAAATTAGCCAGGCATGGTGGTGGGTGCCTGTAATCCCAGCTACTCAGGAGGCTGAGGAACAAAAATCACTTAAAACCTGTGAGGCGGAGGTTGCAGTGAGCTGGGATTGCCCCACTGCGCTCCAATCTGGGCAATAGAGCAAGCCAGCAATGGAGAACAAAAAGAAAGTCCAAATAAGGAAGGGGCATAGGCTGTGAGCTGGAACATGTCTGTGAGCACGTCCAGCACAGATATCTTGGTTAAAGAACAAGGACATAGAATGTACTACGTGCCTGTGAACATGTTTAACAGCTACATAGGAAAGGGCTTAACAAAGAGCAAAAAGCAAGAAAGCTTTGAAGAAAGTTAGTCTTTACAAGAGACTATTATTTCTAACATTTATTATTCTTTAACAAGAAAGGAAACTTTGGCCGGGCATGGTGGCTCAAGCCTGTAATCCCAGCACTTTGGGAGGCTGAGGCGGGTGGATCATGAGGTCAAGACCATCCTGGTCAACATGGTGAAACCCCGTCTCTACTAAAAAAATACAAAAAATTAGCTGGGGATGGTGGCGCGTGCCTGTAATCCCAGCTACTCCGGAGGCTGGGGCAGGAGAACTGCCTGAACCCAGGAGGCAGAGGTTGTGGTGAGCCGAGATCGCGCCATTGCACTCCAGCCTGGGTAACAAGAGCAAAACTCCGTCCCCCACCAAAAAAAAAAAAAAAAAAAAAAAAGAAAGAAAGGAAACTTTGAAGAGGAACTATCACTACTTCCCACAAAATGATCATTTTTCACTGTTAATTTATACAGCTGTAGCCAACATGTTTTTCCATCTATCAAAATAGCCCTGACCACCTTATTATAATTCTAATAAAAAGGAGTTAGTCAGTTGCAATATGAAATTTTAAAAGCTGGTCGGATTTGCCCTCTTTTCTCCTAAATCAAGTTTTCAAACTACAAGTTTCTATGTTAGAGCAACTAAAGTTCTAAACGCTATGTACCTATCTAGTATTGACTTTCCCTCTAGTCATTAATGGATGTGGCCCAACAACAGTCCACTGCGCACATGCACTGTGTATATTCACTGTATATGTGTTTGCATGTGTGTAAAGATACATGTACAGAATAAAGTAAAACAAGCTTCATGCTGCTGTATGCACATTTCTTGTCAGAAATTAATCCAGTTTTTTGTTACTGTTTTATCTGAAATGGGGGGAAGAGATGGGAGGACAATAGAGAATAAGGCAGATTCCTGGGCATCTCCACAAGTGTAGATCAGATCCTCTGAGAGTGAGGCCCAGGATTCTGAATTTCCAGTTCCCAACGTGATTCTTCTGCACATTAAGGTTCGAGATCAGCAAGCAAAGAGAAGACTTAAGGCTCTCTGTACCCGTGATTAAAGCCTCGGCGGTACTGGGGAGCTAGTGGGCACAGACATTCTCACGTTAATTTCTGACATAAAAGGAAGAAGAGATTATTGTCCTTATGCCTTACAGTGTGGAGTATGGATGGAGCAATGGACTAATAAGGGCCCTGGGATTTTAATCTGTGCTCCGTCACGGGCGAGTCTGCTATGCAAATGTATCTCCCTGGGTCTCTCTGGTCTGCACACTGAAGGGTTTGGACTCCACGGCCCAAACCCTCCACGGCTCCTTGAACTGAGGCTGACCGAGGCGCAGGCACGACCGAGGGGTTCGCACACCAAGCGCTGCTGACCCCCAGGATCGGGATCTCGCTGCACAAAGGGAGACAGGGATGCCAGGCCGCGCCTACGCCCCCTGCCCGCGCACCTGGAACACCTACGGCCGGCGCGCACCCCTCCCGACGCCCTTCGAGCGCGCTGATGCTGAGGATACCCAGGGTGTGGTGGCCGCCATTACCCGAACGCGGCCGTGGGTCCGGCCTGTGAGACAAGGATACCGGGCTTCAGCGCCGAGAGCAGCATCCGCAGCCGCAGCGGCAACCGCAGCACGCCTGGGCGGCCCAGTACAGACGCCATAGTCAAAGATGGCATCGCTGCCTGGAGTGCGCATGCACTGAAAACAAGCCGGCCCTCTCCTCCCAGGAGCCACGCCCCCTCCTCGATGACCTGCCCTTCCCTGCATCCTCCCCGCCCCGACGCCACGCCCCCCGGCTCCCGCCACCCCGCCCACCCTGTCGCTCCATCCTGCTCTGCCCTCGGCCCGCCCCGTCCCGAAGCCCCGCCCCGCCGATGCTTGCCCCTGGGTGACCGAAACTCGGCAGTCTTGGAACGGCTGGCACTTGCGCAGACTCCCTTCTCGATGCTGGCTCTGGGTCCCGGGATGGGTGTCACAGTCGGCGCTACCCCGCCTCCGCCCGTCGCCGCATCGACCGTGGCCTTTCCAGGAGGCGAGGCGCCAGCCATAGCGCCCTCGCTGGGTGGGCGTCCAGGCGGGGTTCCGCAGGGCGCGGGGGTTCCGGCTATAGGCCGGCTGCTAACGGTGGAAGTGCATTTGCTTTTCAGAGATGATAGGATCTATTTCCTTTTCTTTTTAAAATTTATTTTATTTTTTTTTCTTACTAAGTTAAGAAAGCAGAGATCTGTTTTCTTTATACGACTTCACACCCATTAGGATGGCTACTAGCAAAACCCCCAGAAATTAGTGTTGGTGAAGATGTAGAGAAATCGAAGCCCTTGCATAGTGCTGTTGGGAATGGAAAATGATGCAGCCACTGTGATGAACAGTACTGCGGTTCCTCAAAAAATCCAGCTGTTTCCTGTCTGGTTCATGTTGGTTAAAAAAAACAAAAAGAACAAAAACAAAAAATCCAGCTCTTCCATTCCTGGGTATATATCCCAAAAGAATTTAAGACAGGGTGTACAAGAAGAAATTTTTTTTCTTGAGACGGAGTTTTGCTCTTATTGCCCAGGCTGAAGTACAGTGGCGTGATCTCATCTCACCACAACCTCTGCCTCCCAGGTTCAAGCAATTCTCCTCCCTCAGCCTCCCGAGTAGCTGGGATTACAGGCATACGCCACCATGCCCGGCTAATTTTGTATTTTTAGTAGAGAAGGGGTTTCTCCATGTGGGTCAGGCTGGTCTCGAACTCCCAACCTCAGGTGATCTGCCCTCCTTGGCCTCCCAGAATGCTAGGATTATAGGCAAGAGCCACTACTTCCAGCAAGAAGAAATGCTTTTATACTCATGTTGACAGCAGCACTATTGACACTAGCCAAAAGGGTGGAAGCAATCTAAGTGTCCAAAAACATATACTGGGATTAGCAAAATATGTCTGTGCATACAATGGAACATTTTTTTTTTTTTTTTTT